CGGGCCAAAAGGCCCACATTGAGAAAAGGTAAAGATAAGACAAATAAAAGGTAAGAATGCTGTTTTATTTACCAATTAAGTAATTACTTCTATATTTCTGACACGTGTCAAACCTATAATCCCATGTCGCGTTGTCATGACTGCCGTGTCCTGAATAGTACATTCAGACTTGTCATATCTTTTCTGACACGTGTCATAGCTATATGATACCATGGTGCGTTGCCGTCATTCTCGTGGCGTGAATAGTACATTCAAACTCCTCATTTATTTGAATCAGTGGCATTACCGCTACAATGTATAATGCATATGCGGCCTTCTCGTGCGTCTTCCTGATCTTACTTGACCCGCTAGCATACATAACCTGTGGAGCCCACGTGTTGGTGATGCTCATTTCGGTAGCGGGCTCCACAAGTGGGGTTTGTGCGAGAGGCGCGTACAGACTCTTGGTATGACCGCACATCTCCTGCAGCCCTCGACCATATCTCCCGCCCCATTTCCACCTCGCCCTTCCGCCGCAGCACGGTGTCGCCTGAACTCGCCCCCAAGGAGAACCTCCCAATGACCTCACCCTCTCTCTGCTCTTCGCCATTCTCTTTCTCCTCCTCTTCCCCTCTCCTCTCTCTCCCATGCTCTCTTTTCTCCCCTTCTCTTCTCTCCCTCCGCCGAGCCGTCGCACCCCACTCCGCCCTGAACATTGGCTCCAAGCTTAGCTATATGTCGCCCAAAAAAGACCGCGCTTTGGCCGCAGACTACTCCTCCCGCAGCGTCTCGAAGGTGGCTCCGCTCAGGTGCAAAGACTCTTTCGGGCGTCGCGACATTAGCTCGGAGGAAGGATCCCGTGAAGAAAGTCCGACCGGATTGCAGGAAAAGGAGACACCTTTGGGGAAATCGACCTATGGTGATCGCACAATGCTGTCATCCTTTGGCCCTCCTCTTGATTCCTTCGGGAATTATGATGCAGGGGTGTCAGAAACCAAGTTCCAGATGACTCTCGCCGAGCTCCTCGAGAAGACCGGAGTCACCCCCACGTCGATTTACGGGGACCTGGACGCCTTGATCACTGGAGTTCAGGACGACTCTAGGGAGGTCTGCCAGGGGGATCTCTTCTTCTCCCGTGTCGGGTCGAAGACGGATGGCCACTTGTATCTTACCGAGGCTTGTAACCGAGGAGCTGTAGCAGTGGTGATTGACAGAGAGACTGATAAAGATCAAATCTTGGGCTACGGCTGCAAGGCTGCTGTCGTAGTGAACTCCACCAATTCCGTGCTTCCTGTTCTTGCTGCAACATTCTTTGGGCATCCGTCGAGGAGTCTCTTCGTAGTCGGTGTCACGGGAACGAACGGTAAGACGACGACAACCAATTTAGTCAGGTCTATATTCGAGGAAATGGGGTACAGAACCGGGCTGTTCAGCACCGTCTGCTTCATAGTTAACGGAGATGAGAAGTTGGAAGCTTACAGAACAACACCTGAGTCCGTGGTAGCCCAGAGATTGATGGCGAAGATGGTTCGTTCAGGCACCAAGGCACTCGTGATGGAGGCTGCTTCTCAGGGGCTGGAGGAAGGGAGGTGCGATGGGCTAGACTTCAACGTAGCAGTCTTCGCGAACCTCACCAGGGACCATCTCGACTTCCATGAGACCATGGAGGCGTACAAGAAGAGCAAAGGCAAGCTCTTTGCGAAGATGGTCGACCCCAACAGGCACAGGAAGGTTGTGAACATCGATGACCCAAATGCTCCATACTTCATCGATCAAGGGAATGCAGACGTTCCACTCGTTACATTTGGAATGCAGAACAAGAACTCCGACGTCTACCCTCTAAAGTCCGAGCTTTCATTGTTCAAGACAAAGGTTTGGGTGAGCACGCCAAAGGGGGCACTGGAGATCAACTCAGGGATGCTTGGCAGGTATAACATCTACAACATCCTCGCAGCCGTTGCTGTTGGGATTGCCGTCGGCCTGAAGCTGGAGGACATCGTGAGTGGAATCGAGGCGGTGAAAGGGGTTGCCGGCAGGTTTGAGTTAATTGACGAGGGGCAGCCTTTCGCCGTGATTGTAGACTATGCACACACACCCGATGCTCTGTGTAGACTTCTGGATGCTGTCCGAGAACTCGAACCACGAAGAGTTATCACTGGTATACCAGTTCATGCTTTACTTTCAGCACATTCTGCAGATTATCATACTGAATGAAAATTTCAACTTACCTAATTCAGTGCTCGGTAATTGATCGTTGAAAACTTAATTGCTTGGTTTAGATTCTAATATTTTCTTCCCCATATGTGCTAAAGAGAGGTCTCAATTGCATAGCATTTTTGCTAGGTCCTAAACAATACCAATGTACAAGTATATTATTATATGTATCAGTGAGATAAGATGGTAATGTAGAGCTTTACATGACTTTTATCTCAATCAGCTGACTTCCAATTTTATGATAATTCCATCAAATGCTGTCTGTGCACTTTCAGAAAAAACTGCTCAAAACTCTCACGTAGCATTTGAGCATACGAAGATTGGCACCAAAAGTTCTTCTATAGTTGCAACATTTCAAGTTCAGCACTTTTGTGTGTCTTTTTTATGTTGGGAATCCGAAACACAAGTCATTAGTGCATTTTCACAAGAAGGAAGTTAAAGATCAGAAAAGTGACTAACCATACTTTTATCCTAGCAATACTAGTAGTTGTAGGGTGATTTGATGCATTCTAATAGCTAATGTTTCGCTTCTAGTCTTTGGATGTGGCGGAGAAAGAGATCGGGGGAAGAGGCCGCTGATGACAAAAATTGCAGCTGATAAAAGTGATGTGGTTATTCTGACATCAGACAATCCAAGGAATGAAGATCCATGTATGTATTCTGTATGTTATATACCAATTTGGTTTGTCATATATTTCTGAAAGTAATGCAATCTGTTGGCCGTATGCCTATTTTGTTATTCAGATATTATTACTTCTGAAACATGCTTTGATGACATTGTTAGCGACAATCTTGGATGACATGCTAGCTGGTGTTGGATACACAATGCAAGAGTCCTCACCACACGGCGGAAACAAAATCTATCCAAAGCTTCCAAATGGTTGTACACTCTTAGTAAATGAGGACAGAAGAGTAGCTCTGCAAGCTGCCATTGCCATGGGAAAGGAAGGAGATATCATTGTAACTCTCTTGTTATGACCCTTTATTACAGTATTCTCAAACCTTTCTCTCTCTTGTTAGACAGAGGATATGTGTAACTCAATTGCAGCTTTTAGTACTTTGGACTGAAGACTATGATGTGATGCTGCAGGTTGTTGCTGGCAAAGGCCATGAGACATATCAAATTGAAGGTGATACAAAGAAGCTATTCGATGACAGAGTTGAATGCCGAGAATTATTACGAGCTGAAGCAAGCAGGGAGAGAGACCGATGAACTTTCATGGGGTAAGCATAAGATAAAGTTGGCTCGGATGACCCAGAAAGATTTCGAGGGTGATTGCTTGAATTTTCCTTGCATTGCAACCTTATTGGATTCAAATTTTCATCTCTTTTATTTTAATATAATTCTTGAAAATTTATTTCGATATCAAAGCGTATAGTGGTAGAAATCTTGAAAAAGAAAAAAATACCTAATATTGATGATAAGTAAAATAATAAATTAGAAGAATATGATATGTTATGCACTTAAATTCTGATTTTTTTTAATTAGTAATTAAACAAATTTTATTTAATGAATAATAGCGAGTCAAGCCCACATCTATAGTTAATTAATCAAATTTAAGAAGGGTTAGATAACAAATGGACTAATTAAATATTACCTCTTATAGTTAGTTATCTTTAATATCTTACTTTTAAATATTTAAAAACTATATATTATTTATAATCATTTTTGTTGTAGCAATAAAAGGCACCATAACTCCATTAAAAAAAAAAACTATAATGTTGGACTGATTTAACTCAAACTATATTCTGATAAAAAATTATTTTTTTATGAGCATTTCTGAGTTTTTACGAAGAAAAAAAATCAATGAATTATTCATCTAAACTCATTCTCAATTTAGGTCTATGAGGAGTAAGAAAAAAAGGTGACACCATTGCACATTCTCTATCAATAAACAACCTCGTAGTGCATTCATGAGATGCCCCTTTGAAGCTTCTATCGAGTTTCGTGGAAGCTCCAAAAGGTTCCTTCGAAGGCTAAGAAGACAAATGCTTCGTCTTGACTTCATAATAAGAAGATATGTTCATCACCAACCCATACTTTATTCATTCATTCAGATTCCTTTGTATGGGAGCAATACTTTTATGGTGTTCCTGGAAATCAATTAATCTCTCAGAGTGGTCGGGAGGGTAGAAGATTCCCATAACGCCAATACAATTATGGGTGATTCATCGACAGCGATGTGGTCGTGCCGGAGTGGTTATCGGGCATGACTAGAAATCATGTGGGCTCTGCCCGCGCCGTTTTTTTAATATCCCAACTCGAGTTTGGAATAACATGTGCTGTTTGAAGCCATGACGTGATTTGGTATCAGTATGCATGATTATTGAATCCGGTTTTTCTTAGTTGATATTATATTGCATAATTTCTAAAAATTATCTAGAAAAAAACACTAAGTATTTGTTATTACTAAGTAAATTATATTTTTTTAATATATTTTTTAGACCACATTATTTTTTAATATTTTTATTTTTATTATCAAGACCATGAGTTTTCTTAATAAATATAAATATCAATTAAATATAAATATCAATTAAATATAAATATAAAATTTATAAAAATTCAAAAAAATAAAATAAAATTAGAGGATAGAATATATATATATATATATATATATACCTTGCCCTTGCGCAATTAAGGCACTTTATGTCATCGGAAAGGAGACAAGAGAAAGGTGACAATGATCCTGATCACAATAAAGTCAAGTCTCATATTTCACCCTAACTTTTATGCTTGATTAAGAGGTCATTTCCAAGTTTTTCTTAGTTGTTCTCTTGAATCATGATACATATTAAAGCTTCTTTCTTTCGGTAGTTATTTGGTCAGATCCTTGGGTTTAATTCGTAGTTCTCGAATTGGATTTGCGGTTTTTGGAGGTGTGATGCAGGTCTCTTGATTACTTTTGCTTTTGCTTTTGTTTTTGTTTAGGTTTCATGGGTTTGGACATTTTGATCTATTTGCTCGAAGACTTTCTTGGTCGAGGATTCCTTGTACATTAATTATTTTCGTTAGGTGGTTCTTTGGTACCTTTGGGATTCATGATCATAAACCTCACCGGAGCATGATTCTTGGAGGTGAGGTGGCATCACAAGTTTCTTGATTGCTTTTATTTTCGTTTTATAGAGTTTTATTTTTTTGATCTGTTAAAAAAATCTATTAAAAAATAAAAATTAAATAAAGATGAATACTTTAGTCAGATCAAAAGGTTTAAAAGAAATTTCCTAAGATAGATTTTAAAGATGTGATCAATGATAGAGATTTTAAAAGAAAGAAGAATTAATTTTTTACTTAGAAGAAGATAAAAATAATAATAAAATTTATTACTAAATGAAAGTATTACTTTAAGGATTTCTTTCTCTAGCTAAGATAAGAAGAAAAGACTATTTAATATGAAGGAGATATTTATCCTCTTACATTGTCTAAAGGTAAATCATAAAAATTATATAACACAAACCTAAAAGACATTAAACATATAAATAAGATACATCATCAATTATGACATATTTTCTCAATAATATTCTGAGTAATATTGAAGATGTCAAAATTATATAAAAGTAAGATTTAGATTGCCATGTAGGTAGTATTGATGTTTATTGGAGTACATAATTTTAAAGATTAAATTATTTTATTTTTATGAGAAGCATAAAAGTTTTTTTACCTCATGAAAAAGAAAAAAGATTTTAGCTTTGAAATCTCTAATCTATTCTTATATATCTAAAGATCTAAATAAAAAAATAAAAGCAAATAAAACTTACCTTAAAAGTTATCAAAAAAATCACATTCCGATAAGATTAACAAATAAAACCATAAAAGTTATAAAAAAAAACTAACCAAATAAAAGAATCCCTACCCAAAGAACCGTGAATTGAGGAAACCATCAAAGCCTTCAAACAAACAAATATAAATATCTGAACCTAAAAAACATAAATGAAAATGAAAACAAAAGCAACCAAGAAACATGCATATCATCTTAGAACCACACAACCAATTCGAAAACCATAAATTAAACCATAGTATCTAACTAGATAATCATTAAAAGAAATTCTAATAGATATAAGAGCTCGGGGGAACAATCAAGAAAAGCTTGGGAATGATGAGGGAGTGGATGAGATCAAACATATTATGATGGGGAGGGATATAAGAGCTTCACAGGAATTCAAGGCACAAACATATTAGTCTTCAAGTACTTGTTCGGATTACCTAACTTGATAGAATTATCAATTAAGGAAGATGACATTCTCATTGGATAGTATAGATGAACCTCACGATCATTAGACACAAAGGACACTAGCAAATAGAGATGCAACTTTCTATGCTAAACAACTTTGCAATGTGAAAGATCAGTGTATTCTAATTTACGCCAATAACTTATATATCATAATAGATAAATAAAATAATTTTGGGTGCTCTAATAAATCTATCTTTTCAAAATTTTGAAATGCAACTTTTTTTTTCTTGAGATTTTAATATTACATAAATATTCTTTCATATTCTCCTTTTAATGTTCATCTATTGTCAATCATGATACTACTATTAGCTAGTTGAATTAAAAGAAACATAGCAATTAAAAATGGATAAAGTATCCTGAATATTCAATCATTACTAAATATTAAAAATATCTTTACAAAAAATATTAGTATCAACTTGAGTTTCATCATCACTATACAAATTTTAAGGGATATATATATATATATATATATATATATATATATATATATATATATATATATATATATATATATATTATAGTATA